AGACCCCTAGTCCAGACGAAATTCCAGTCATTTTAGATCAGTACCATTCTGGTAAGAGAGGCATTAACGAAACGATCAGACGTATCCGCGAACGCTACAATTAGCCAGGCTTAACCAAAGATGTTGAGCATCACATTAAAAAATGTGAAATTTGTCAAAAAAACAAAATTTGTCGAAAAAATCTTAGTACACCCTTGGTGGTAACTGAAACTCCCAAAGCCCCATTTGAACGAATTAACATTGACATTTTAGAAATCCCGCCAAAATGTTATGCGCTCACAATACGAGACGAGCTCACAAAATTTTCTCAAGCCTACCCAGTTGGCGACAAGTCTGCCAAATCTGTCGCCAATACTCTTCTTTTATATTTCCAACACTATGGTACTCCCCTCCGTATACATTGTGATTACAGAATAGAATTCGGCAACGCCCTTATGAAAGACCTATGTAGTCTTTATAATACCAAATTAACGTTTTCAAGTGTCAGCCATCCCCAATCCAATGGATCAATCGAACGATTTCATGCCACTCTTCTAAAAATGATTAGGTCCCATGTATCAGAGAACTCCGACGAGCACGTCTTCAATATCCTACCGTACGCGATTCATTGCTACAATAGCACCAGAAACAAAACTACAGGTTTTACCCCGTACGAACTAGTTTTCGGCCACGCAGCTGGTCGTCCCCCGGAACACGTTTACCTAGAAAAGGAACTAATGTCTAAATACGTTCGAGATATTCGGAATAAGCTCGAATATTATATAAAATTGCTCGTGCCAGAACGGACGAGCAAAAGCGAAAAGCTAAAGTTCGTTTCGTCAGTAGAATATCACCGAATTTGCAATCATACAAAGTTGGTGATAAAGTCTTTGTCAAACAATCCCAAATGTCCAATAAACTTCATAATGAATTTGACGGACCTTTCGAAATCAGTCAAGTTTTTGAAAATTCAGCACTTCTCAAAAATCCGGAATCAGACAGAATTACTAAAGTTAATTTCGATAGACTGGAACCCTGTTTTGAGACTTAGTTTCTCTTTCAGGTGCAGTCTGCTGTTTTTTTGCGGCTGTTTCAGCCCAAATAGACATTCAACCAGTCAACAACACTTTAGGCATTTATTTCCATGAGAACGCCCTTCTTAAAATTTTGAATGAAGTTTGGACCCTTCTAGTTTACAAAAACCTTGATCTTATCAACAAATCCCTCGACGATAACAACTGTGTTTTGGAACGACTGTATTCTCTTCTGGATGAACAAACAACCCCATGAAAATTTTCAATGGCAAAATTAAGACGCCTCCGTCAAATCTCCCGTTCCCTAGAATCAAAGTATTACGAGATTTTCGATGACACGACAAGCGCATCGTGAATGAAACGCGGACTCATTAATGCTGCAGGTACTACCTGGACAGCAGTAACAGGTAACCTTGATGGTGAATATTATAATAACTGCATTAACAAAATTTCTAAAATGAACATGAGCTTGAAAACCTCAAGAAAAATCAAATTTATGTAACCATGCCGGTTATCAGGAATTTCAACAATCCAGTTCGGAAGTTGCAAATTGACGAAGCTACATTCAATGAGGACATACAAATTATTCAAGACAAAATTATCAATATTTCAGACGAAATTGCCTTTTTTGACGCTAGGTTTAAATTTTTAGAAATATGCAAGCAACGTATGGAAAGTTACGTTTCTCCAAGAAACTGTTAACGATATTCTAAATTCCATTACTTTTGCACATTTGAAAATAATCCATCCCTCAATTATTAGTCATGATTTAGTGAATTCCCTTCAGGAAATCTCACACACCTTGTCAAAAAACAACTTGCCCTTGCCAGTCAACTTAGCAACGGTCTCTGAGTATCTCAATCTCATGGAGCTTGAGGCCTACCAGACTAAAACAAAAGTAGTTCTCGTTTCAAGAATCCTTTTATTAGAACCAGAAATTTACACTCTCTACAAAATAATTCCTCTGCCCATTCCAGATAGGCGCACAGGCTTATTTCATGTTATTTCTACAATACAGAGATACATTGCCAAGGATGGCGATTCGCTATTGTACGTGTCTTTCCAAAATTTAGACAATTGCAAAATCCTTCAAAGTCAAATCAAAATTTGTTTTAACCTTTTGCCTTATCCTATAGACAATAATGCAATCTGTGAAGCACAGTTGTTGCGAAACCCGGTCGATCTGCCGAATGCATGTCAGATAGCTATTGTGGTCTTACAGGATTACAAAATCCAAAAATTATCAAACAATTTTTGACTGATTACAATATCTAGCCCGTTGCCTATAACCATGAAATGTGGACAAAGAGAGACAACCACAAAAGTGATAAAAGCTAATTCACTAGTAAAGATGCAATCTGGATGCAGTGGATTGGTAGGTACTACTAGACTTCCTGCCAGATATTCTGACAATTATAAGAATATCACATTCAGGAATCACCCTGTAGAGATACCTTACAATTGCTGCGAACACTTACCAGACAAACATAAATTGCCAAAATTAAAGCCGATCAAGTTAAATAAGATCGGCACTGAAGAATTAGAAATAGCCAACCACAAGTTGAATCAGTACTCCGAACAACTTGACAAAATTATCAACGAGCCCTTCGTATCCAGACATCTCCCATGGTTCACATATTCCATAATTGCCGTATTAGTTATCATCGTAGCACTGTACCTGTTCTGCAAGTGCAGAAGACGTCGACCACTCAGTATCTGTGCACCAAATTATCCAGCCGATGGCCCATCTCCAGGAACCTCGAAAACTCGATACATCCCCAGACTTTTTCCCCGTAGAAGACCGACCATCCAGCCACAGGAAGAAGACATTGAACTAGTGATTCTGTGAGTGAAGTGTTTTCACTGCACAAAATTTTATTTTCCATTTTTCATATTTTTTGACGTTTTTCTCAACGTTTATTTGTTCTAGCTTTTGCTTTTATATTTAGATGCTATTTTGCATCATCTATGTACCATATACTAGTAATTTTATTTTTCAGAATTTGTATTTTCTGACTTTGTTTTGTTGCGACCTGTATTTCGCAATTTTACTATTTGTAACCATTTACACTTTTATATTTTATAACTTTATATTTTTACAATTTTACAATGTTTTACAATTTTTACTTTTTCAGTATTTTGTACTTTCCAATTTTTATATTTTGGATCAAAATTTGTCGCATAGAAACAACTTTTTGTAATAGGGGGGAGTTATTATATGCCCTTAGTAACTACGCAGTTATTAAGTAAGCTTACATAGTTGCACTAGACGCTGCGTTAGCATAACAACTTCTCGCTAATCAGTAGTTTGCCTCGTGTCTCTATTTTCTATAGATCTATTGTTTGTCCATTGTATATTTTCTGCTGATCCTTAGTCAGCACCCTAAATTGTATAAATAGGTATGCCGACATTTGAAGAGTGTCCAATACCCGGCTAGACACCGTAACTGTCACGTATGTAATCTTTGGGTTCAATACCCGGCTAGACTCCGTAAATGTCACTCCATTGTAACTTGTAATTTGTAACAGACTGTAATTACAGTCCTCGAATAAAGTTTTTAAAAAGTCTTTTTCAATGTTATTAATTTAACATGCATTCAGAGCAACTAGACGATCTCTGCTGCTGAGCTGGAGAAAAGAATACTAGCAACGACTTCCTCTCCGAGAGACCAGGAGGTTGTCACTGCTTGGGGACGCAACAATCGTGTACAATTTAATGCTTCCAAAACAACCTTGACGAACAAAAAGCGTCCTAGTGCTCATCCGGTTTCGATCGATGGTCAAGTTCTGCCAAAGAGCCATTCATTTCTGCTTGTCTGTGTCCAGAGCACTGATGACTTGATCTGGCACGAACACATCTCGTCAATAGCGGCAGCTGCTGGCTAAAAGCTAGGATATTTGTTTAGGGCTAAGAAGTACAAAAGTACTAAGTATAGAAAACTCCGCACGACCTTCTCACTCTTTACAAGGCTAAGATAAGGCCTAGCCTCGAGTATTGGTCACACGTTTGAGGTGCTGCCGCCCCGTCTACATTTCACACCGGCGGACCGTAGGCGTTCTAGCTCTCTTCTACTGCTACACCAACGGGCTTTGCTTCTCAGAGCTCTCCCCCATGATGCCGCCGCGCGATGTGCCTGCCAGACAGACCCGCCTGACCTGGCCTCCCATCCTAACCGTGTCGAACTTCGCACATCCAGAACTGCCCGATACGACCGCTTCTTTGTCCCGAGGATGTCGAGATTGTGGAACAATCTACAAGCGGAAGCCTTTTCCAGTTATACTAACCTTGAACAGTTCAAAAATCACAAACACCTCAAAGAGTAGGAGTCGATCTCGTTGGACGGACTGAAGAAAACAGTCCGGTGAAATTAATTTCGGAAGTTTGACAAAAAACGTCGGAACTAAGTGGATAATATTGGCGATGTTACGGATTGCACAGAAAATAAGGAATGAGGGTAGCTCTCTGATTTCAGTTTACATTCGATGCTACCAGTGCCGGTGCTCCTATGAACTATTTTCCTCCAACAATAACATCTACGATGAAGAGATTCTAATAGGTGAAATTAACTATGGAATATTAATAGACAAATTCCTCAAACGGGAATATCAACTACTAGTCGGATGGATTAAAGGAAGTCTGGTGAAATTAACTTATCTATATTTGATATTCAACGTCTAAATACCAGCGAGTGCAGTGGCGGACTCCGTGTTCAATCATGGCCGCTTGCAGGGGAGGACAGGGGCGTGGCGCAACTGGTAATGTGATTTGTCCTGAAAAATTGAATATTTATCATGATCTTGTGTACCATTTTGCGGATTTTTAGGCCCTGGGAAAATTTGCTACCAACCGCTGTTTAAAAAGTTTTGGTAGCAAGTGAACAAAAATGTATGTCTTGCCGATCATCAGCCCCCTTGAGAAAAATTCCTGCGGGCGCTCATGTGTTCAATGCTCTTGGTGAGATCGTTTTAAAAACTAAACAACATAAGCTCATAGAAAGTCAGTTTATTCCAATTTGTTATTACACGCAATTCATTAAATACTTATTTATATTTTACTTCACATAAACCAAACAATAACAAAAACTGTACTAAAAATACGATACAATCTGAATAAGGACTCCTTAATTATGTATAAGTCATAATTATACCAGTAGATTTAACATTACCAATGGCACTTATTCGCAAAAAATGCTCTCATCAATCATAATATTCTATACAAGTAGTGAATTGAACTAAAAAATACTTGATGGTCTTTATTATAATACAAATAATCCACTAACAAACTATTTGAAATTGAAAATCAACGTGATGGCGCACCTCATTATTAAAGATTTAACACAATATGCAACTGTAACTTTACTAAATAGGATTAAACAGACTAAACAGTTCTCGTTGAATCAATCGCCGTCACCCTTGTTGTTATTTACAACATTCACAGCTAAAAAAACGCTATGTTGTCCACCACTGCTGCATCTTACCGCTTTTCTGCCTTCTAGCTGCTTGCTCTTTATCAAAGCAGGTGATTCGCAATCGTCTTCTTCCCCTGTTCCTAGTTGGCCGTTGGTACCCATACCCCATGAATACAGCTCCCCTACAGAACATTAAATTGATACAGACAAAAAACAACTGCGCATTCAGATAGTGTCCAACGTCTATTGTCCTAGCACACTTCTTGAATTTGCAAATTCAAGATCGAGAAGATGGGTTACCCAAGGTGGATGCAAGCATAATTCGATTTTATAGTGGTTGATGCTGATTTTTTCAACGTTTTTGCATAGTTGGGACTTTTTTACACAGCTTATTATTCATGTAAAAATGAACAAATTTTCCTAGTCACACATCCACAAAAATCTTAGAATAACAGGAGAATAGGATTAGGGATGGTAGTTTATGGTGGCTTCAATTTTTTTTTATATTAGTACATTTATACGCTCCCAGCCCCGGTATTTCTACGCACCTATTAGCCATATTTCATACATCATAGATGTCCCCATCCATTTGTCGTTAAAACTTAGACTGATGGAGAAATGTTTTCGGAGGTGCTTAGGTAGACGCTACCGCTTCTGACGATATGGAAAGAGACAACGTTACCAGATTGAATGGTTACCACCAGTAGGGCAGGGAAATAATGTCTATCGAGTAATTGTATGGGCCTGTTTGACGACTGACTTGATTGGTTTAATTTTTCTACATACATGTTCGTATTTTTTTGTCAGAGGGTTTAACTGGTGCTGAACATAATCCTGAACTGATGATGGTGTTGCGAAGGAAGGGCAGAATCAACCTACTTGATGCCATTTTTTTAGTTTTGGCACACCACCTTAGATATTTTCTGGTCAACGTATGAGTCTGCCACGTTTATGCTTGTTATAGTCATTATTATTACAACTACAGACTGTGTTAAATTTTCAGTGGTATTGGCTTGTAAGAGTGACTCTCGTAATGTTTCAAGTCAATAATTGTGATTTCTCTTGATTTCCTCTCAGTAAACATGAATTTGTTGAAATAATTTCGGACAGTGAATGAAAGCAAAACAAATCATGTATAAGCGCGCAATAAGGAGTTGCAGCTATGTTAAGGGTCAGCTTGCTCGGTGTGCAATTTTCCTTAGGGACGTTAGGCTCTCCACATGGCACAGTTAGTTAATATGTTCAATTATTTCGTATAACCTTATGACATAACCGCCAAAAGCCGTGAAAGCAGATATATGTTATTGCAAACGTAGTTGTTTATAGAAAGCTGAACCCTAACTTCCAGAACAACCACGAGCCCCTTCCCAATTCAGTTGGCCCAACTATTGAAATCTTAGTTTTTTTCTTATCAAACACAAATAATAAAAATGTAGCAGGGTGTTATAGGTTTAAAATATTAACAATAAATATTTTGATAATATATAGTAGAAAACATCAACTTTATCACTCCCTAATCAAATTTGCAGCATAAAAATAACACATGTTGCAATTACAGCATATCAACCTATTTTCATTTCAATGCAAAATAAGTCTATAGCGCATAGGTGGCTGTGAAAAATAGAAGCCATGACAATTGTTTTTATTAATCACAGCTGTCAGAATACGTTTAAAATAGTTTTGGGTAGTTAAGGTTTTCAAAATGGGCAGAGGAAAGGTTATTAGTGAGAAAATTCGGTTACTGATAATTAAATTTTTTAATTCTGGGAAATCAAACTCAGAAATTGCAACTCTGTTAGACTTATTGCGGTACAGTGTGAGAAATATTGTTAGAAGATATAACTTAACTGGCTCAGTTAATATTAAGCCACGATATGTGAAAAAAAAGTAATATCACAAATGCCGACCGAAGAGCATTAAGAAGAATAATCGTGAAAAACAGGCGTGCCACTTATTTACAATTAAGTGCTCTGTGGAGTGACGCTGTTGGAATTTCGAGGTCCACAACTCATAGAGAGGCCCACAAACTGTGATTTAACACTTGCAAGGTAAGTTTTCTTATAAAAAAAAGTGAAGTAAAAACCCTAAAGTTGCACAACTTGTTTATAGGCCAAAGAAAAGCCACTATTAACTCCACTGCAAAAGAAAAATCGGCTTAGATGGGCTAAAGAACATAGACAATGGACACCTCAACAATGGTGTGCAATACAATGGAGTGATGAGGCCCGATTCGAAGTTTGTGTTGGTGACAGTCGCAGTAGAGTTATTCGCAAAAAAATGAAGCATTTCATGTTGACTGTCTAAAGAGAAAAGTGAAATTTCCAGCATCCATTATGGTCTGGGGAAGTATGACATCAAAAGGAGTAGGAAAACTTCATTTTATTGATGGAAATGTGGATACAAACAAATATTTGGCAATTTTAGAAGAATCGCTTTTACCAGTGATGGAAGAATGTTTTACATCCGGCCAAGATTTTGTGTTTCAGCAAGATGGTGCAGTGTGCCATACCTCAAAAAAGGCTATAAAATGGATGGAAGAAAATAATGTATCACTTTTGAAATGGGTTTCTAGCAGTCCAGATCTGTCGCCTATTGAAACTTTGTAGCACGAGATGAAAAAGGTTCTACGACAACATCCTGCTCGTACAATCACCGAACTGAGATAACAGCTTCAAGAAAAACTTGGTTAACACTATGCCCCAAAGAATTTCAGCCGTAATAAAAAATAAAGGTGATATTACCCAATGGTAATCTTTCAATTGTTGCTTTGTTAACTTATTCGCACATTGTTTATTTGTTCAGATGTTCTATTAGTTATAAGTCTAAGTGATTTCAAATATGTATTTTTTACGACTAGAATGTATCTAAAATGTTTTTGAGAAAATAAATTGTTTTAAAAGTAAATAGTTTCATCATGTTTAGTTTAAAAAGGCATATTTTGGTACAAATCTTGAAGTGGGCCAACTGAAGTGGGAAGGGGCTTGTAAATAAAAATTTAAAGTCTTACCTTCTCTTGTAACCGCAAATGACGTGGCGCTCCCACTAGCTACATTTATAACCTTCTTCTCACTCAGTTCCTCGACTACCTTCAGTACTGTCGCATCTTCGCAATCTTTTCCCAAACCTAATCTTCCATATTCTCTTCTACCAATAGCATATACTTTACCATCTGTATCTAAAGCTATTGTATGGTGCTGTCCTCCAGTTATCATTTTCCATTTGTATTTGGAAAACTCCTTTGACAGTGTGGGTGTGAACTGTGGCACCAAATTTTTCAAACCTTAAACAATGAAAAATATACATTGATAGTCGTCAAATCAGAATAATAGCAGACATCTTTTGTATTTTACATTTACGATTTTTTACATTCTTGATCGTACTTGTATTGCTTTTAGCCTTGAGCAATTTACTTACCTATTTGATGAAAATTGTTCAGTCCAAACACATATACTTGGTCTGTATCTGCTACCTTGCAGAATGTTCCATAAGTAGATGCCCAGATGTTCTCAAAATGGAGTTTTGAGTAAGGATTTAGTCGTATTTTTCTAGGCAGTAGGAGTACATCTACATGAAATAAAGTTGTCAATATGAAGGTTAGCCACTGATGATATAGTCATACATACAATTTCTAAATATGTAATATTAATTTCACTTATAAAATGGTGTTATTTTTCTAGAATTTTCCTGCCAAAAGATCAAAGCTACCATCTAAATGCTCAGAAACTAGACAAGCAACTAGGCAAATATGACGGCGTGATTAAACATACTCAGTGACATTAAAGTGTTACATCCAGAAAAAATAATTTCTTCAACTTGATTTTTTGGCAATGAGGTAGTCTTACATCAAGAATGAAACGATAACATTATCACAAAATTTTATTAATAAGTAATAAGAAAAAAATTAGTAATGTCTTGGGCGACCCCACAGCTGAATACACTCCTGTATATGTCTAGGCATCGACAAAATGAGATGATTGATGTCTGGTTGTGGCACCTCATTCCAAGCAACTCGAAATTCTGGGGTTAGCGGTGCAAAATAGATAGTCTCCTCCACATCATATCCCACACATGTTCGATGGGATTTAAATCCAATGAACAGTGGGGCCATGGCAAAACATAAACGAATGCTTTTTGAAGAAAGTCCGTAGTACGACGAGCAATATGGAGACGTGCGTTTTGCTGAAAAAGGTCGTGGACGGCCCTCTAGATACGGCAGTGAAGTGCTTTGTAGGACATCATCAACATAACGCGCAGCAGTCATATTGCCTTGAATAAAGAGAAGGGGTAATCGGCTACCAAAGGCAATAGCCTCTCAGATGATTACTCTCAACAGCAAACCCAATATCACGCCGTTCTCCACGGCGGCGTCTTACACTTCTACGAACATCGTGCGTACCTAGACAGAATCACGATTCATCGCTGAAGATGACATTATGCCATTCTGCCTCACAATGTTGCCTTCTCTGCTCCAGTTCAAACGCTGACGACAGTGGTCCGCAGTCAGAGGAAGCACTAACCGTGGACGGTATGAAAAAAGTCCAAAGGCTCGAATGCGGCGATAGAGTGTATGCATAGTAACAGGTCTACCTTCTTCTCCCAACCATTGGTCAGCGATCTGTCGCATAGTAGCAAAACGGTCTCGTAGGGTTAGTTGTCTGAAGCGCCTATCTTGACGCTCTGTGGTCCAGTTGGCCTTCTTCGTGTTCCTCTATCTTATTCTATACACACATGGCGCACACGCATTACCATCATTGCAGTACAATTAATACAGCGGCCAATTTCGTGATAGGTCAAATCAACATCTCGATAGGCAATAATTCTACCGCTCTGAAAGCCGCTAACATGATGATAATTTGGACGCCTTCGAACTCGACGCATTTTGTTATGCTTAACTCTACTAAATGAAAGGTCAATAACTAAAAATATCTGTACTCAGAAACTGCTTTCTTCAAAAAAACTAAGAGATAACATTTTAATAAAGGTATACAAAAACAAAGATAAAACGTTGACATTGTTGCTCCAGCATGCTTTAAATATAGTTTCCAAAAAAAAACAAGTTGAAGAAATTATTTTTTCTGGGTAAAACTCAGAGTATATTTAAAAAAACGATATATTGGAGACATTATGGGGGAAATGAAACTAGTCTTGGGTGGTGATTGGATTGTTTCTGCAAGTGGCAGATACTTTCCATCTACCATGGCGGTGCGGCGGTACTACTGTCATGCAAAGGCAAAAGTATCTTAATAGGCCTTCCTGGATTGCAAAAAGCATAACCATACCATGAATCCAAAGTGTAAATGTCCCTCTCATGACAAGCACCATGCAGAAGCACACATCCTTCGAAAAAAATATACCATACCTAGTTGCTCCTTACCGCTCACTCCACCATTCCGTCTGTAGCTTCTGTCACTGAATCGCTCTGAAGTCCTGCCCAATTGGCCCTGTTCTGCACACCCGCAAGTGTAAACTTCTCCGTGGTTGTTCAGGAGAACGATATGGTCGGCTCCAGAGGCGATCTTCATTATTTTCTGCTCTCTGATAATTTCGTATGGAGCGCGTTGATTACCAGATGGTGTCAAGCCCATTACTCCATGAGAATCCTTGAAATATAAGAGGCGTACTTAAATTTGGGACTTTTCTTTACATGGTGAATGGTTCTTAAAGAAATGAGCAAATTTTCCTAGTTACATAATACACCAAAGTCTCAAATTGACTAAGATATTCTGTTCCGAAAAAAAAACTGTGATATCAAATGTGGTCCTTCTTCCAACAAATAATTATGTGAAAAGATATGTCATGAATCTAGAATCTCTAGAGGTTCTGGCATAAAGTTTTAGTCACAGGTTCAGGCCAAAGTTTTTATCGAACTGTTTCTTCTTTATAAATTATTTTCATCATTATTTTATGTGATTGCTTATGAATAAACAACATGATGATACACTATACCAAGAAATCATCAGGAATAGCATTCCCTGGTTTATTATATTGTAAGGACAAGATGATGGACCAAAGTAGATTTTTTTTAATTGATATGTTGCTACTGATATACACAGAGTGTTAATATGGCACAAACGTATCATGCTTGGATCTGCCCCCTGCAGCAGGTTTGTATAGCCAAAACATATTCCAATATTGCCTCTCTAGATACTATCTCAATGAAAAAACCTGAAAATCGCACATTCATATAGCAATAACAATCTTTTCAATATGATGTTACTTTTCAGTGAACAAATTAATAACCTTGTGTCTCAACTGAACAGCAACTATGAAAAATATTTATAAGCAGCATGTGACAAGGAAATACTTCAAACGTATCAAAACTTTTAGAGTACAATCCTGTATCTGTAAAGTAGTTCAAGTTCAAGTTGAATACAATAAGTGTTGTATAGCTGATTACATAGGTGTGGTGTGGCACCTCAATGTGGCATTAGCACACTCGTTTTTATTTCCCATTTTCAAGATAATTTTTTGGGTGAAAGTAGTTCTACTAATTACAATTCCAATATTACACTTACCCTAAATGTACCCCAGGCAAACACGCGCCCATCCTCTAACAGAGCTGCTGTATGAGAGTCTCCTGCTGAAATCTGCACCACCTTCCCTGGCAAGTCCACTTCTCCTGGTTCAAATTCTGCATCCTCCTTACCCTCAGTAACCCTCCCTAATGCCCCCTCATCATTACACCCAAATGTAATAACCTTGCCCTCCTTGGTCAAACATACAGTGTGCATACCCCCAGCACAAATGTCTACAATTTTATGGTCAAGTTTCACAAATGCAGGTCGGCTCTTTTCTAGTATATCAGGGCCAAGGCCTAATTGACCAACATCTCCAGCTCCTGTTACTAGAACTATACCACTGATAGAAGTATCTGGTTTTTCACAGTGGTCCAAAGTAACTGCAATACACAAATGCATAAAGCGTGAGAAAATATTATATGAAAAGGCTTGTCCTAAATATGCTTGATAAATTAAGGATGCAGAACAAAAGCCCTTATATAAGTATATGCATGAAGTCACAAGGATATTTCCAATATTCTTCCCAAATTCCTTAGGGCTACTTCTGGAATAATAACTGCATTAACCAAGAAATAATGCAGTATCAGCTGTGTTCAGGCTCTACATCATGATAAATGTGATCAAGCATTCCTTACATTGGTGGCCGCAGTAGTAGACTCTTCGGTCTCCTGATCGGTTGCCGAGCACTGTGCTCAAGAGAAATTTTGCTCTTGGCTACGGATATTGTGATTGTCCATAGGTGGTAGACAGTCTCTGACTGTCAAATGCACAGGTACCACCCGGTGTATCTCATAGGTGGGGCCAGAATGTGTGCATGTTGCATGCAAATGTGTTCTCTCACCAGAGCCCATGTGGTGTCCCCCCTTTCCCCTGTATCCCCCTATAGCCCCACGGTACCCCATGGCCATAGGCCTTCGTGCTAGTTGGACTATAAAAAAAATATTAGTAGAGCCCATATGCCTATCCTGAGATAACCATTGTAGAATAAAACAAAACCGTATCTCAATGGGGCTCAATAAAAAATTATTCATCTGGATGAAGTCCACTGATAGGATCAAAAGCCCATCATTAAAGAGCTAAATTGGCAATATGTTAATATAGTTGTAGTCACAAATTGGCAATATGTTAATATAGTTGTAGACAGCGTTCTTGGTGGGTCAAAGGACTACCAGTATCCCTGTATGTGCACATTTGTGCAGTAAGCTCAAAGATATACGTTTTTAAGTTCTGTGTCTCCATCTTGACAACCTTATCATTACATATGAGTGCCCTTCAATTGTATTTGTCAGAGTGACAACTTACTTGACATTGGCGTGTAATTTGAGTTATCCTGTTATCAATCTTCAATATAAACTTGTACAATGGTCTGAAATACGATCAATGGAGAAGGCCAACAGCTAGTACTAAATTTATGAGAGTATTTTCAGGAAGAGAGTGCAAACAGCAGTCACCTGTTACCCACTTCATGCGTGCTGGAGAGAGTAGCAGATGCGCTGCACTGTGTTCTACCATCTACAGAGAATGGAACTGTTTACTTATTTGGTATGGCGTTGATGACGTAACCATCAAGAACAGTGACTACAACTATATCATGCTTTTCCATGCTACTAGCACAGGATCCATTGACACTCAGGACTCTGAGAAATTGTGCTGTATGTGCACACACACTCAATGGTCTCTATTTTAAATTGTAAACCTCAGTATTTCAATTTCTGTACTATGATCAATCAGCTTGAGTTTTGGTGCCTCTGATAGCATTTAAGTTGTGATAGTAGTGAGATGGAGTGCTATCATAATTAAGAAATAATTGAACAAGTTCCTGATGCTAGCCTACTTTACAATGACCTAAGAGATAACTGATACCCTTTGAATTGAAGAAGTAGAAAATCAACTTACATTTTCCTCGCTTCGATTTGCTGGTGCCTTTTACATCTGTGGAGGGCAGACGCCTTTTTCTAGACGTCATCTTTTTTCAGTCTAAGTCCTCAATTTACACAGTCTATAGCGAGTTTTGTTTGATACACCAAATTACACCACAAATTCCTTCAAAATACGAGATTCTTATTGAAGATATTTTCGGCGGGAACCCCTCGATGCGGGTGTCGTTTTTTTGTAGTGTCGCCGCGCCGCGGTGCATCTAAAAGCGAGGTTAGGTCGTGAATCGTGACCGTTATGACATCTGTCAAGCCGGTGATGTAACAATAATCAAATTCAAGCGAATAACCAAATGAAAGCGGTATTTACCATTTTGGATTGGTATTTACCGATCCGTTCAAGCGAGTGTGGTTATCAGTTTGGTTATAAGATCCGTGACGTCATGAATCAGCTGTTATATGTCATAGTTATCACCGCAAAATTGTGGTATTTACCCAACTCAGGAGTAGTTTTATATTTCTGGTTATTATTTGAAAAGTGACAAGTTAGAATTTTGCCGGGTTTTGAATATTTTTATTGTACTTCAGCTTCATTTTTGGGAAACTTAATACAGGCTGACTTCAGTTTTAGTATAAAGTAGAGCACCTTATTAGTTATAATCATTACTGTTGTTGGGGATATTTAAAATCTAGTTCCTATGTTTAACAAAGTATCCTGTGTAGCCATGTATACCACAAAAACATTAAAATATGGCCATATAAACTCACTGGATGATCTCCACCTGTATGCGGTTCTGGGAATATCTTTTTTCATCGCTTTTTCCTACCATTGCTGGTAAATCAATAAATGTTTTCTTTGACATGCGGAAAAGTTTAGAGAGTTGAAAGTTATCATAGCTACAAAGAAATGGCTCCATCATTAAAAAATTTTTTTCTGAAAAAAAAGATTTCTACCATTAATATTATGAAAGGTTTCTTTTTTAAACTTTCCATACACCGTTGTAGACGAAAAAGCACCGACTATTAAGTGATAATAAAAATAATCAGAAATTATATACAAGCTTTTCTAAAATAAACAACTTACAACAAAACCGCGGTTAAAACCAACGCGTTCAAGCGATTCGAGTAACTGACGTCATCAACCCGTGTGTCATCTTGGACCATACTGTAACCGCGATACATAACTCAGAAATTTTGGTTATTCGCTTGGATTTGATTAATAATTAAATCCATATATGTACAAGCAAAAGTTCTCATACTGGCAGCGAAAAGCATAAATGTGTAAGACTCACCCGTTGGCGAGAAAAATTCATCGCGGTGAGACGAAACTAAAAAACATACCTATATCTTTATGAGTTTACACGAACAAACATCCACGCATAGAGACGGATGCATATGTATACAGTGTATATCACTGACTTCGTAAAGTGTACGAGAGAGAAGAGTGCAATACGTATGAAAGAGCAAATCGTTGCCTAACAACCCGAATGACGAGGCCACGGACGCAGCTGCGGCTTGCCGCGTTCGCATCGGCGCACTCTTTCTAACATATATACTCATATTGCACGCTTCTCTCTCGTACACATTACGTCGGCCAAATTTGAACCTCACCGTATGTGCGGTTTGCGAGCATAGCAGAAGAAAAACACTAAAAACATTGAATAATTTACTAAAAGGAAAGAAAAACACAACTCTGACGTAATCAAAAATAAAATACACATTAACACTGATATAGTATGTACATTTATAAAAAGGACCATTTATCAATACTAAATTAAAAATAAGTTTAATAATATTGATTGTAAAAAAATATAATAATTACTAGTGACTCGCTTGGGCCTGCTTTGCCGAGGAAAGCTTGTCGAAACAAGGTTTAATATTTGAAATAGACACGAGTTCTTTTTCTATATTTAGCTGCGATTTATATGTGGCCTTCAAAGCAGCAACCACCGAAAATCCTGTTTAGCAAAGGTAGGATGTTGAAAATGTTAGTAGTATACGAAACGCTCTGGTTTTCAGTGCCGAAAACTCATCGTTCACGCCTGCCCAAAATTCATAGAGGGATTTATTAACTGTTTTTTGATTTCAGCGATTGCCGTATACTATGAAGATTTCTTCTTCGACGGTTGCGAGCACTTCGGGAGTAATTTGAAACGTATTCCTAACCCACTCGTAACTAACTAAGTATTAATTTGTCGTCGGCAAGAAAATATTTTTTAAAATTCTCTGTCCGCATCGCTAAATGATTTCCAATGGCTATGAAAACAACTTTCATGTGTTGTTCTTCAACCTTGTAAGTTTTAATTCATTCATCCACATTTGCAAATATTTCCATGCTTTGAATTTCTGCTCCACAATTTCAATTTTCTACAAAAAGCGATAACTTTATCACCCGTATCCAATATATGTGTATCTACTCCTTGGTGCTGAATGTTCAATATATTTAATTTCTCGAATTTGTGGACCAAGTGGCTCAACTTCATCAGAAATAAACCATCTCGAGACATCTCGCCTTCCGGTCGACGTTCTTCTTCTAGAAAACGCCGATTTCATCTCTTAATTCAAAAACACGTTATAAACATTTTCCACGTGATAACCATCTTGAATCGCAATAGAATAGTAATGCTGAATATACTGCACCCATATCTTTATAAAGTACAGAAAAGATTCTAGTTTTCAAAGGTGTCATTTTTATGTAATTTTACAACCGTAGTTAGCACAATATTTAGGCCATTTCTTTGAAAGCCAGAGCTTCTCTGTGAATGCGATGTGTCCAGATGCACAGTGCAGATTTTTGTTTTACAAGGGCTTGTATACTTTCAAATCTTCCAGACATTGAACGAGCCCCATCGGTGCATATTCCGACGCAATTCTTCCACTCTATGTTTGCCTCGATTATATAATCATTTAAGATAGCAAAGTAGGCAATAAGATGAGCATCTTAATTGCTGTCCGTTGCCTCATCAAGCTGAATTGAAAACAACTTCTCTCGAAACTTCCCAAGTAGCTGATGCTGTACATCTTCAGCTATATTACCAATTCGACGGGCAACCGTATTATTTGATGGAGGTATAGACTCTAATTTTTTGGCAAAATTATCTCCAGACATAGTTTCTGGATATTTTATATGAATCTTTATAATAGGCTAGTAAAGCTTTTTTATTCATTCGCAGTCTATGTTTTTTTCAAAAACCATTTTATTTTTTCATATGATTTTAATTTTAACTCGTATTAATTCTCGTTGTTTGTTAACGTACTCACTATGAAGCGTTTCCAAATGTCGTTTAAGTTTATTAGGTTTCATGCTATCTGCGGATAAGGTTTTTGAGTAAATGATACACATAGGCCTCTCTTCTTCATTGACTTCAGTACATGTAAACCCAAAGTTTAAGTATTTTTGATTGTATTTTTGGAACCTCTCTCGCCTGTGCACTTGGTGCTTCGTCAGTATCGAATGCTCGCTTACGCTCACTTAAAATTTATCCATGATTTGGTATAAATTTACTGCTGGGGATATATACAGGGTGACTTCGCAGTTGAGTCATTTATTTTAACAGTGAGTAGATCTGATCAAAAGAAATGTTTTTTCCTTTAACATTTTTCTGGTAAAATTAAATTAACAAAGTTATAGCCCTTTAGAAGTTTGAGTACCGCCCTGTCTCAATAATAATATTATGTGCTCGTGTTTGGCAACAACGGATATAATCCGCCTTATCGGTTCATCGCATCGGAAACAAAAAAGCGAAAGAATTTGAAACGTTTATCACGATGTCAGTCAATGTGTCAGTCGTTAACGCGTGAGTGAATAGTGGTGTTTGTTGCGTGGCTCAAACGAAATAAAAAATGGCACATGTTTACGAAAATGCTGAACTTGTGGACATGATTCTTATTTACGGGGGGGGGGGGAATCTTTACAAAATGCTGCCGCGGCATCACGGATTTATGCGAATCAGTTTCCCAATGGAGTGCAACCAACCCCTCGTGCCTTTGGTAACATTTTTTTTTAATTTTACACACATATTTTGGTTTATCTTCCTTCTACAATCATTATCTGAAAATTAATGACTCAACTTCAAAGTATATATCTTAATACCGTGAACTGCAATCAACACGCATATTATAACATATGCATTTACAATAGATTTAGCACAGACAGAACGACTGATACTGACCAGAATTGACGAGATGCGGCGTGTATACACGTTCGCGCAGACGGTCCAGAATATTCGGAATAACTCGGAATTTCTCGCGAAGAGAGGCATTGATTTCGGATTTGCCAATGCAGCAGATCGGTGCTGCCAAATATCTATAAATTTACTTATTCTCGGTAAGTTGTAGGATTTGTAATTAAGGTTGTACTGTAAGTTTAGCGCCAAGATGCTCAAGGTTTATTATTGTTGTATACACATATTGTTATTGTGTAATGGGGGTGGAGGGAGGGGCGGTGAAAATAATTATTGAAAATTGGGTCGCGAATGTTGCAAGGTTGTCTTAAACAATTGGAGTAAAGTTTGACGTACGCATGACATCCATTCGAGTTATTGAAAAATTACTGGCTGATTTGGGTCATTCATTATGAAATCATAATGTTACTGGAAAAAATGCTGTCCTCACATTTTCTGTAATGTTAATTTATCTGCATTTTTAACACCTTGTACTTGAAAAGAGGCTACCGAGACAGCAGAAAGGTCATTAAATTATTTTTTCTATATCTGCCCGTTCACTTAGCGACCAGAATAGCATACACAGATGAATCTTAAAGGGAGATTCAGAAAACAATCCAAATGATTTTAATTAATATATATTTATATTTCTTCGCATAAAAAATATTCATTACAAATTTAAAAAGATTTCTGATGACAGACCGATATCCGCTACACATTTTAATGTACTTATATATCATCAACCGTCAAAATATCCATAATACTTAATATAAACTTGGGCACAATAATGTTTTAAGTGGAGCATTCAATATTCACATGGCGGCACGGAAAATTACATTTTTTTGAAAATATTCGGCTGCAGTACAACTGGGCACTTCTACACATTATTGGCATAACACACAAGAGATAAGATAAACTCAATATACAATAGCTCATTGTGGTTGGACAAACAAATTTGTTATGCAAGTCTATATTATCTATAATATATCTAACAGGATTTTTTTAGACAGGTGCAGGTAGACATGACATTGTAACTTATAACTTATGAGTTTTATATGACAAAAAATATGTAAATTGCAAAAGGAGAACTAGTGAAACTTTGCAAGAGGTCTTTCAATATAAAACAACCGAAAAAAAGTACCAAACATATCACTATTTAACCCGTCTGATTCTTTGGGGGAGGTCTGTATATCCCCACTACTACTGCATGGTCCCTCTCATAAGGTTCTAGTGTGATCTGTTCTTGAGGTTTCAGTTTGTCTGCTTGCAATTTTTTAACCTCTGCTGCAAAGACTGCCTCAGGTTGGGCGGTTGAGTCGATACATGAAGCTTTGATCGAGATGACAAAATGGCCGCCGTTTTTCAGGTAATGCTGAGCGTTGATAGCGACGATACGCGCCTGGTCTGGTTGAGCTACGTCCGCGAAGATGGTGTCCACCATCCCTACTAACATTCGGTATTTGAGGGGATGCCTAGAAAAAAAAAGTAAATTAATACATATTTTTGCTCAATAACAATAGTACTAAAAATATGTCTTGACCTCCAAATCATACCCATAATTTCATGAACTGACAAATAGGTTCATACAGCAACCCTCAGTTGCACGAATCAGTAGGATATAAAGTTGACCTAACTGACTAACACATGAGTTCCATTCTTAGGCAAAACATGCAATTTTAGAATCTATGTAAATTAAACAAGAATACCAATTTCAAAATTGATAATCCAGGTTAGTTTAAAATGTTGAAATTCTGGTTAGCAAACAATCTCTTTGACCAACACTTTCCCTCATCTTTACTCTCCTTCCATAAACCCATTTTTTCTTCTATTTTGATGACTGTCTGGTATCCACGCCTCATAAAAAGACTGACCAAATGAGAAGTTCAAAATACAAAAATTTCTAAAACCCCTACCTAGCATCTTCAATAATAGGAATAATGTTGGTCCTTTTCTTTGCCACATTTAACAGATCTCTTCCAGATCTGTGTGAGAATTCTACAGCATATACTAGCCCTTCAGGCCCGACAACATCTGAGACATGAGAAACTGTAGTACCAGAGGCAGCACCTAGGTAGAGCACCTTGCTGCCTGGTGGCATATGGATCTGGTCAACACCACCCAAGATTGCAGCAGCCAATTTACTTCTAAATGGGTTCCAGACACGATATTCTTTCTTTTCACCATTTTCCTATACAAAAAAATGACAATATTACTAGGCAATCAGGAAATCAAACCTTACTATTTTAATATGAGCAAACATTTTTTCAAAAAATATTTCTTAGGAATATATGTATGTTAATTCATTCTATTTAAGTAACTAATGAATTTACCAACATGTTCACAAATGTTATCATTGGGCACAATGTTCATGAAACTCTAAATAGACAACATAGACTATTCGAACTTCTGCTAATCTGCTTTTTTAGATAAATTGAAGAAATTATTTCAAAACAAGTGATTGTTGCATTAGTTTTTTAAGAAGGTTATATCTTAAGAAGCAACAAATTTGTACAAGGAAAAATTTAAACAACGAATATCAAAGACTATGAAGAATATTTGTTCAAAATATACACTTCTTACCTCTACTGATATTCTCTTCTCTCCATACACGTCAGAACCAGGAACTAAATTAAGAGTGACTAGAGCATCCTCTTTTCCTCTAGCTATGAATACCCCAGGATGTCTGTGTGGCTCAATAACCACAGTTTTTCCACCCTTGAAGCCCCCAGGTTTTCCTCCTCTACCTCTTGGTGTTCCTCCACCACGCCCTCTTCCACCTACAGAAATACATTTAAAAAAATTATTTATGTCAGAGTTGACTTCAACTGTGTTATACTTATAATAAGTCATTCATGCTGTCATATTTATTTAACTAGAGTGAACAAGTTTATATTACTCATTGTGAGGTTTTAAAAGCAGACAGGATACTGAAAGAAAGACAAGAAATATAACCATGTTGTCAGTAACATGCTGTTATTGTAGTTGGAGATTATCGAATTCAAATTCATTTGTCGACTAAAATAACAAAGACATAGAAATGTTGAAACATGGATGATCTTGTTCACTTTACAAATATAATTAAAAAGCTTAAAATACACTACCCCTAACAGAATTTTCATTAAACCTATTCAGTGCCGCCTGAGAACTTTTTCGTGAAACTTGTTTTTTGTCAATATATAGGGTGATACAGAATATTGTCAAGGAAACCTAAGGGCAAATTAAGAATGTAAAAATATGAAAAACCTTCATACAAACATGGGAGCATATATTTCCTGTTTCATGTTACACAATATTTGGCCTTTATGCATAAATAAGTATCTTTTTCTCAGTCATATTGATTCCGAGTGAAAAGCATTATTTGAATTTTTTGTTGTGTTGGGAAAAATGGAGTCAAGTAGGTTGACTTTGCACTTCCCATGCAATGCTGTCAACAGTTATAAAGGACTGCATTAGGTACAAGTTAGGTTCCCTGAGAACAAAGGCTATGAACACGTAAAACAGAAATTAAACCGATAACTTCAGTCAACCAGGTCCATACAATTAGTCCCTAGATATCTTTTCCCTGTACTACAAATAGTGCCCCGCCTCCCCGCCCCCAAAACCTCACCACTAGTCAGTTCGGCAGCGTGGCAGTGACGGAACAAGATTCTGAAACGTAAAAAAAAGTTTTTGCGATTTTCATTTTTTCTTTCATTTTTGCCTGTATCTCCACCGCCAGTGGACCAATGTTTTAAAAACCACACGCTTTCTGGTCCTTGGCATAACAGAAACCTTGTGACAAAATTTCATCAAAATCCTAGCAGTACTTTCCAAGTTATAGAGGGGTTGAGGATTAGCTGACAGACCAACAGACAGACAGACATGCAGGCCAACGGAAATGAGTGACGTGGTTGTTTGTGATGTACAGGTCATATAACATCACAAAAACATATCTCATTTTAAAATTAATATGAGATTACAATACATTCTCACCAGTGGTGTAGGAAGTAAAAATGCAGGCATAATTACTATTCTTTGATATTGATAAAGAGAATGTCTTGATAAAAAATCTTTATTTTTGAAAACAATGTGTGTGAATGTAAAACTTCAAGAGGCAGTTTTTAACTAGAATCAATCTCACTTGAAGACACTAGTTGTGTACCAATTTTTGCTAAATATGCATGCTCTCTAGTATGAACATGACTGAAGTCAGCACTTTAGAAAACAACTTTGAACATATTAATATACCCTTTGGTAACACACTTGAGTTTGCCAAAATTAATCTCAATATCTCAAGCTTAAACACCCTGAAAAAACAAGGATTTTGGGACCTATGTTTATATGAAATTTTATCATATTTCAACAAGGTGGATCTGCTCTTAAATTTTCCTGATGAAATTCTGTAACACCCAGTATAATCACTGAACAGATCCAGCATTATAAAAATGGTGGAATAAATAATATTTTTCCTATTAAAAACAAGACTCAAAGGCACATCTTGACTTTATACCATTATCAATACAATTACATGGTTAAGGACTTGTGTTGGTTGTCTTCACAATTTATTTATGTAGGTAACTAGAAAGGTTGAAATCATTTGAGACAGAAAGTCTAGGGAATATGGGATAATGGGGCCTGACTAAGATTTTTATTGCAGAAATCTGTCATAGTAACATATACAGGGTGTCTGCAAAGTTGGGGTTTTCCTTTTCAGAAACAACTACCCTTGAAATAACAAAGGTAATGTGTAGTGAAACGAGGGCGACCAAGTAAAAAAAAAAATAAAGGAAAAAGTACTCACTCTCCAGTTGACGAGAAGGGCTAAGTACGTCTCTGCCCGAAATCATACTGCTCCAACACAAAATGAAATCAGCTGATGCGCTACCCTGCAGACGCACCATGCCAGCCCAAACATTCACCGAAAATGTTTGTTGAAAATGTGCCCGACGGACAGCGTGCGGATTTTCTACTGACCAAACATGAGTGTTGCGAAAGTTATTCACCCCATTAGGCGTGAACGTAAATTCGTCTGTCACCAATATGCACTTCAAAAAGTCCGGATTATATATTGATGCAACAATCACTCACAAAACCGCACTCTTGCTGAAAAATCGTCAGGTTGAAGGGCTTGTACACGTTGGACGTGAAACGGGTACAGCCCCTCTTCACGCAGCGTTTGCCACATTTTAGTTTTTGATACTTGCACTTCTCTAGCCACGTCTCTAGTGCTTGTTGAGGGATTCTCGTCTACGCGATTACCTCGCGTGACCGTAGCCGTCGGTTGAAGGTTGCATACTGACCTGAACACTGACCCCGACCCCCGACCCAGTTCTGTCGTTGAGCCAGTGACATTGTACCACTCCGTGATGTCGCGGCTACAGGACGGTATTCAGATATTTTTGATGCTGCAGAGCTCTTTATCTCGGTTAACTTGAGACATTGGTGTAAAAGGTACTAAGAAAAATTGCTTATGTTTTCAAGATCTACACATCGTGTAAAGGAAAACTCCAACTTTGCGGACACCCTGTATTTATGTTTTGCAAAACTTAGCCAAGTTTTTCTGAAAATATTTCTTTTTCTACACAATTTCCATTATGTTGCATTTGCTTATTGTAAATAAAAATGGTGTCCTGTACCCTGCTAATGTGCTATATAGGTGATCGGCTGTGGTTACTAACAATTCATCAGGCATAGTGTTTCTCAGGTCAGTACTGATACATTGCTACTGATGTATAAAAAATGTGAAATTAAGGTAGACTTATGTCAATATGATATGACACAAAATGTGTGATCCTTGGCTCCGCCTCTGATGTTTTATGTAGTCCAGAGATTCTAGTAACGCAGTTCTGTCGATACTATCTCAATCTCAACCCCTATATCTAGAACCTTAGGAAAACTGTACAGTTATTTTCTCTTACAGATTTTTTTACTGAACTGTCTTTTTACTTAATTATTCTGTAGATAACCTCAAAATGACCTAAGAACAGCCTTCAAATAGTGAAACTCACCTCCCCTTCCAAAACTATCTCTGCCCCTGCCGCCTCCCCCAAAACTGTCTCTACCTCCTCCTCTACCGCCGCCACCCCCTCGGCCACCGAAACCTCCTCTGCCGCCTCCTCGGCCCCCTCCAAAGCCGCCTCTGCCTCCTCTACCACCGCCTCCTCGGTTACCAGGCGAGAAATCTAAAAATACGGCAATTTTAAAGCACTTCTTGTGATATGATACTTCATTTTAATACTTTACATACCTGGTTTGCCCATTTTTCAGATAAATGTGGTAACTGAAGAGAAAATTCAAATATTCTCACAAAACACGGCGTGAGCACGCTTTAAACATCAACATAACCTAAAAATTTTGAAATTGACAGATTTCACATAACCAACGAGACACGTGCACGTGACTGTAGGTAGGCAACTTCGCTTGCTTTACCTTTGCTGAAGCCTGCTTGTACACAAACGCTTGTAGTCCAGCAGTGCCCCTAAATTTTATAGCCGGCTAGAATTGGTCAAAAAACCAACAGGTAAAACCAAGGATGACAAAAAGACATAGAACTATAAGTTTTTTCAGAGAGGAACTATATTCGCATTCACTCGGAAAAATATTCCAATTTGGTTTTTAGCATACTTTTATTCAAAAAGTGCTCCTGCAAACGTAACTGCATGATGCCAGGCCAAGAATTGCGACATTAATTTCACCTTGGAGTTTTGTTGGATTTTTTAGGAAATTGTGAACAAAGAAAAGTTTTTTCTCGAGGCATAAACGATTCAGTATTTGATATATTGTAAAATGAGCGATTTGAACAGCGCAAAACAAAATGAAAACACGAAAAATTTAATATTGTAAAAGTTTTTTCAGTATTTATCAAACATTCATTAACAAAATCACGAAGCATTTTAGGAGGTATTGTTATTTGGTTTTTCAATTGCTAATCAAGCGCTCTCAATGTATAATTATATTATGCATGAACACGAGAGGGATGCAGTACGAGCGCGGCCGCCAGCTACTTTGACACAGTTTTGGGACTGGCAACATGCTGATTTACCTTTGAATAGTATTATGCAAATCAGAATATTTCGGAGCCGAAGCAAATACTTCCTGAGCTATTGTGGGTTTGTGACATCCACTCCATACGGTGCTAGTAAACTGGAAGACAGTATTTAAGAAATTTAACTTTTTCCATATTGAAAAAAAATAAAAATGCTTTGCACAATATTCGTTACCTGAGAAGGTATAGAAGCTATTCAAGCCGCTGATTGCATTGTGCTGTTTAGTCCTGCAGTATGGTGTGAAGGGTCAACATTTGAACTATTGTGTGTCCCACCACATAAATTACCCATAATGTAGGGTGTCCGGGCTCTGGACACATGGCAATCCTCTAAAGCCTCTTTGAAGAGACATTAGCAATAATAGCTTTCCGCAACCATTGCATTTAATAGTATACCCCATTCGTCTATTTACACCCAGGCAAAATACATTCGCCAAAAGCGAGGTTGTACAGGTCCGTATTTTCCTCAATGGTCTTGGAATAATCTAACAAAAGAAATGATTATGTTTATTGAAGAAGTGCACATACTTTCCACAATTCCTCATTCGCTGGAAGTACTTGAATCATCGTCCGAATGGTTAATATTAATTATTACAGGTTCAATTTGAATATCGATCATATTGCCCATATCCCACATCTTTGTTTCGATTGTCTCCTGAACGTGACGGATGCAATCTTTCTAATGGTTTGCCGTCACTGTGTTGACAACTTCATAAAACAAATTTTTCATGTCAGGAAATTTTAATGTTCTATTGTTTTTTTTATTTGCCCAAATCATTTCAGTGGGATTTAGGCCCGTATCGTCAGTCGTCCCTACAATTGTAGGGCGCGTTTATGGCCTCCATGATTGTCATACTCTTTTCTCTCCTTCAAAAATTTCTAGATTACACTCGTCCCGTGTCAGCGCCAGCGCTCTCCTATGGTGAAGATATGTTTTCTTTTTAAATTGTAGGAAATTTCAGGCTGATAAAACATGATATAACTCAAAAGCAAGCACAATTTGATGCAAATAGATGTTTGTGACATAACCTTAAAATAGAGTTCTGACGCGGAGAAGTAGAAAACTATGACAATCAAGGAGGCCATAAAGGCGCCCTACAATTGTAGGGCCTTAATTCGCAGTGATAAGGGCGTTGAAACAGTCTTATTTTGGTTTTTAGCCATTTCGTCAATAAGATTAAGATTATATTTATATTTGTGCTGCCTGACTAGATGGATAAGTTCTGCTTTCACCATATTTTCATTGAAACTAATGTCTTTTGATATGAGCCATTGTTGAATTTCTGTCTTTCTTGTGGACGTTGTGGGATTTTTTTCTAGTTTTCTAGTGTGGTATGCAGCATTATCAAGTACGATGACGGTATTGTCGTCAAGCTTTGGGAGCGTTTCTTCAGACCATCGTTCAAATGAACTCCCGTCCATTTCTTCATGGTAGTCGGTCGTTTTCTTTGACTCAAATGTCCATAGGGCAGTGGGTACAAAGCCTTTTCCTGAAAATAACTATTTCATATAATATTCAAGAAAACTAATAATAATACAAGCAGAGTATCTAACAGGTGTTGGTTCCAAATCTACCAGATATAGCTAAATTTAGTGTAGCTAAGTTTCCAGCGTGGCCTCATAGATTCAGTCTACTTGGCACTAGATACTTTAGACCTGTGATTAGTCCACCTAAGAAGGCTTGTCTTGCTGATTTAATTATTGAGTCAGTCCATACTTTAAATTTTGTATGTCCTGCATTTATCCAGGTTTCATCCAAGTAATGTATCTTCCTGCCCTGGTCGCGGTATTTCTTTATTGATTATGAATAATTTCTTCTCCATAAAAGAATCTCTCAGCTGTCCATCGAAATACTATTTCTGTCCCGTTTTCTATATTAAAAATGAAGTCCTTTGAGCAAACTCTAGAATGTGGTCCTTTTGAAAGTAGGTAAGTCTTCATCACTATTAACCTCCTTTAATTCTTTGGTCTATGGTTTGAAGTTCCTGCCTTTCAAAAAATTGATGGACTTCGCATCTGATGGCATTCCGATCAAGGTCATCAACACTGTATCCAACAGCTTCGTGTAATGCAGCCTGTTGTGTGGTGGAGACAATTTTTTGTTTTTTTTTATATTCTTTAACAATGTTGAAAATTGTCTTTAGGACCGAACCCTGTTTTGTTCGCCACACGTCTTTCAATATCATGGATTTTCTTTTCAGGATGCTCTAAAATTTAGCTCTTATAAACGTTAAGGACAATTTCTTTTGCCTGAATAATCAAATGTCCATTGTCACGTTTTCGGGGAGGAGACATCACTGAAGAGTAAGCATGGCTGAAGGAAGCATTGGGAGAAATATTCTAAGTTCCATCTGCTGTATCCGTAGACGACATGCTAACGTATAAACACACGCTATGCATGCACCGAATATGAACAGCAACTGCCGGCGTCGGCGTTCCGGCGATATCCCGAGCCTGAGTTCTATCCTGTCGAATCCTGCACTTGTTCGTAGTTTTATGGCCGAACGACCAACAGCTATTGCAACGCTTAAGCGGCTGCCGCCGTTCGGTTTTGATTTCAGTACTGGGAAAAATCAATTTGGCATATTTTTGACAACTATGTCTTTAATTATAGGTACGACTTCACTGTTATTAGTTTTTAGGTATTTTTGAATCAAACAAACATTATTTATTTAAAGGTGTATTACTAAAACTGTATTACCAGTGCATCAATTACCATAACATTCAAATCATACCAAATATTTGTCTAGAAACATAGAAATAACTTGAATTCCCAAAACAATCACATATTGCTCCACTTATAATCAGTGGAAGGTCAAATAACAAATTGCAACAACAACAATCACACATGAAGAAACAATCACTTTGTATTTATTGAAAAACCCAGTAGTTTCTGTTTCTTCTTGTACTTCCTTCACTTTACTCTTCTTCTTGCCTTCAAACATCTTCTTATATTTTTCTAGTTCTTTTTTATTCTTCTCCTCATCTTCCATTTTTTTCTGCTGCTCAATTGCCTCACGTTTGAGTCTTTCCTCTTCCTTCTTCTGTTTGCAGATATCATCACATTTAACCGCTTGGTTGGTGCGTACAAGTTCACAGGAAAAGTCCTTTTTTATTCTTTTGCATTTGCATGTTACCTTCACCTTTTTCTTACACTGCTCTGGATTGGGACAAGGTCCAGGATGGCAGTCAGCTTTGCATCTATGTCCACATGGATACTGAAAAAGAAATGTTCACTCAGCACTTTCTTTCAAACTGAAAGAATAGAAACTAACCTGAACAGAGAAGTTTTAAAATTTCACACATATTACAAAAAGATATATTTTCGGTACCCATGATTAGAACTTTCAAGGCACTTCCGATAACAGCTGGCTTATGACTTTTGAATGAACTAGTTATGTGTTGGATATTTAAAAAAACCATCGATCTTCAAGTAAATTTGACACTTTTCAATACAGGGTGCGGCAGCATAACATCCTTTAAAATTCGCGCCATTCAGTCGTTTGACGTCATACCGGAGCGCTAGTGGTCTCGTTCAAGAGGCGGGACTATAAAGTTTTGTCCAGATACAGTTCAGTTGCCATCATGCGTTGGAAGAGTGACTAGCGTACTTTTACCATTGAGTCCTGTATTTCGAGCAACCCAGCGCGCCTTTCGGAATCGCTTTAATTTAGAGTATTACATAACTTGAAAAGTCACAAATGCCGTTTTTTGACATTATGTAGGTTTTCCAACAAGACGTCAACTTGGAACTATCTGTCATCCAGTTCATGTTCACTTGCAGCAAGCGCGGAATGAACTATTTCCACACTACCCTACTTAATCAACAAGTTGACGTTTTACCGGATTTTTTTGACGTTATATAGTTTTTTTCACGTAATAACCCTGCCATTGGCCCCTGTGCCGGACCGGAATTCAATTGTTGCGGGTGTCACTACTCTAAGACAAACTGCAAGTGCGACAAGACGAAGAACTGGAGTCCCTCGGCCATTATTATACAGGGTGGTCCATAAGTCCTTTGAAATTTCAAATTTGAATAAAATTTAACGGGTGAGCGTGAGCGGCGCGGGCGAGGTGGGGGCAGTATCTTCAGTGTCTGGGAATTCAGTCGCCATGGAGTGTTTCACTGGAGCGGATCGTGCTTTTTGTGTGCGCGCGTTTTATCAAAATAATGATTCGGCAACCATTGCGCGGCGTAAATATCGAGAATACCACAATTTACACAATTTTACAAAGTGTCCAACAGCTCAAACGATTAAGAACTGGGTTGCTAAGTTCGAAGAGACTGGTTCGACGTTAGATAAACAGCGGTGGGGTCGACCAAGGACAACTCGTATTGAAGAAAACATCAACATTGTGGCACAGTCTGTTCGTCAAAATCCTATCCAGTCTACTCGTAAGCGCTCCAGTGCACTAAACGTACCCAGAACATCTTTACAGCGGATTTTAAGGAAAGATTTACGTCTGCACGCTTACAAAATTCAGTTAGTGCAGGAATTAAAAGATAATGACGCTATTCAGAGACTAAACTTTGCGGATGAAATGTTGAATCGATTTTCTTCGCTCAATAATGTGTTGTTCTCGGACGAGGCTCACTTCCATTTAAACGGGCATATAAATAAACAAAATTGCCGTTATTGCATCAGAAGCCCTTACACAGCCCTAAAGTTACAGTTTGGGCTGCTATGTCAGCGCATGGCATCGTAGGCCCTTATTTTTTTGAGGACGACAGAGGTCGCGCATTAACTGTTACTTCGGAGCGGTATGTAGCAATGATAGAAGAGTTTTTGACACCAGCGTTGCAGAATTTTCCGCAGACCTGGTTTCAACAGGACGGAGCAACTGCCCACACCTCCAACACTGCTATGCCCGTCGTCTGTCAACTTTTTCCCAGCAAAGTAATTTCTCGAAGAGGAGACATTTCCTGGCCACCACGTAGTCCAGATTTGACCCCAATGGACTTCTTTTTATGGGGCTACCTCAAGAGTAAAGTGTACGACACCACTCCGCGATCAGTTGATGTCCTGAAAGAAAATATCCGAAGAGAAATGGCAAGCATTACAGTGTTGACTTGCCGCGCAGTCATCGACAATTTTAGACGTCGTTTATATGAGTGCCGTGATCGTAATGGATTGCATTTAGACGATGTGATTTTTAAAACATAATTCCCATTCAATAAAGATGATAACAAAATATAATAATTCTTCATAATGTAACTAGTTTGGTTTTATTCCTTTTTTTCCAGCTCAAAGGACTTATGGGCCACCCTGTATGACCAGAAAACATTGAGGCAGTAAGAGCTTCAATGTTGCAATCACCACGGCATTCTGCGCGCAAACATGCGTCTGCCTTTGGACTTTCCGATCGCTCCTTGGAGAGAATTTTTCATGATTTCCATTTCCATCCTTAGAAGATGCAATTGTGCAGGAACTTTCTGAAAATTCTCGGATAAACGCATGTGAGCGTCTTCTCGAAGTCATTCCTAAAAACGCATTTTTTTTTTTAGTTACGAAGCCCATTTTTATTTGTGTGGATCCGTCTACAAACAACACATGCGCTACTGGGCTGACACCAATCCTCTAGAATTGCATCAAAGATCTTTGCATCCACCGATAGTCACAGTGTGGTGTACATCTTACGAAGTATCACAGATATAAACAATTTCAATCAGTTGAATCGATTGTCATCAAACATAAAACATTTCTTGGGAATACAGAAAGACACACAGGTACACATGTTAAACTTATAATCGCTCCAGTTTTTGCGTGGGGGATTCAAAAGGAGCTTAGATACGCATAAAGTACTTACATTTTTAGGACACTGATTTCCGCAGCACTGCAACTGATCTCTTTTAGCAGGATCCAGCCAATCAGCACAAGTGACATACAACTGATTGAGTCCACAGTTACATTTTATTCGTATCATCTGCTTACAAGGCTTGCAATCGCCGGGATGGCATGGTTTAGGGCACTCATGTTGACAACCTTCCGGTCGGTCTTTTAGGCATGGATTCTCGCATTGCTCACAGTTTTCCCCAGCCTGTAAGTAACATACAAAAATGTCAATTTTCATCCCTTGCTACTACTGATTTAGCATTTTAGTCAGCTGGAAAACCAAAAACATTACTTACTTTAGTTACATCAGGCGCTCCTATAACAGTATGACAAGGTAAACTACACGTATGATTTGTGCAGCCTAAAATTCTCCTACAGGGTCTTTGACAGCTTGAAGGTTTGGCTAGGTGGCAAGGCCAGTTAACAGTTTCATGTCCGCCTAGAAAATCAAAGAGTCGTTTATTATAAAAAATCTGAACACAAGTTTAGTTCTGATAGTATGTGACATCAATATGAAGAAGCTTTGTGCAGAAGTGCTCAAGTAGGACACGTATATTGTCCCAATATAGGAACAATATTACGGATACATTGGGCCAAGCTAATTTTCAATTATTAGTGCAAGAAAAAAATGTGGATATTTGGATACAATGGTACAATATTAATTTGCAGTATTTATTGGCTCGATATTATAATACAATATTGGTTGTATGTCATATTTTGCATATTGTCCCAATCAATGATAAAAATATTGGTTCAACGTTGATTTCTAATATTAAGTCAGTACATCTATTCTTTATTGACTCAATATTGAAAAAATATTGTAGTACCATTGTCTGGCTAACTCAAATCACATATATATTAAAATTTCTCTTTATTTCACGCGGGATAAGTGGAAGTGATAACAAGGGCGGATTCAGGATTTCGTATAGAGGGGGGAGGGGGGTGGGCGCAAACGATATATGGGGCTGGTCATTTTTTAACCTCAGTGGAACTTCTAGAATTTATCCTATTATTGCTCCTTAAGTCCATTGTGTTCTATCTGGTCAAGGCCAGCTTGAAAAAAAAACATGGAAATTGCTCAGAAATCCTCAGAAAGCCAATATCTTATCATATGAGAACAAAATAAGTACGTGGCATTTATAATTAACTAGTGTAATAATATTAAAGATTCAAATATAAAAAAATTCATTGCTCTGTTAACCGACAAAAAATAAATAAAAAATTCTAAGGAATCCCGCGACATATCAAAGTCCACTCCACACAAAACAATGTCTTTGATTGCGAAAACAAACATGAGACCAAAAAAATCAGATTATCGTATGGACGCTAGACAAGACAAAGAAGGATGTCTGTAGACCATCTATAGATCGTGTCTTGAGACCGTGTCCACACTACCTATAGACAAATTGCGCCACGGGGTCTACTAGTATGTAATAAGCTTAACGACTAAGACTTTGAACTTCCCATTAAACAAATCAAGTAAGTGGTGCAAATACTGACACAATCAAGCACTTCTATTATATTAGCAGAATGAGGGATGTTTTCCGCCATTCCGACGTGGATAATTTCGGTTATGAAGAGCAGACAGCCGACGCATCCGCGTCAGTGAAACAGACATTTCTCCAAGGAAAGGTAGAGAAGAAGTCTCTGAGCCCCTCCCAGTCGGCATATCCGTAATGCCAAATTTTGCGGCCTGTGCGAGTTTCTGCCGAAACAGCGGGTTCTGTCCGAAACCTAACCTCCACAACACAGTGGTATGAGTTACCCAGGGAAGACAGCATAGCAGAGCTGTAAGGGACAGGATGTGTGGTCAGAAAGAGATCCAGCAGGCTACTGGCATGTGACCAGACGCGGGGCAAAAAAGTAGGGCCCGTCACCAGCTGGATCAGCCCTTGAGTAAGAGCGAATGTTTTAACTGCACGACCTGCTGCAACGGTCTTGTTTAATTTAAGCCCAACCAAAGCAAATTATGGTCATTGAAATCACCGAGGAGAACTACCTCTGAAGCGGAGTGATTGATGTTCAGGAAGTCGATCTTGACGGCGAGGTATTCAAGAAGGTCATCCCAGTTATGGTCCGAGGGGAGCGATAAAGGCAGCAAATAAATTTGGGGGATGTTTTGGACTTCCGGCCTGATTCCAGAGAAACATCTCTGCAGCAGGAAAGACTGCTGCGGACAAAGGCCACAACTCCCTAGTTCTTTCTCAGATTGGAGTCCACCTCATAATTTGGTAAGCTAAGATGGTTAAACGGTGCGGACTCTGAGATTTTTGTCTCCGCCAAGAAAAGCATGGCGGGGCGATTGGATTGCAAGTAGTGATTAACAGCATCAATGTTGCTGTTAATCCCGCAGATGTTCGTGAAACAAATGTTATCTTGATGTTGTTCCTTTGAGTCCACCCTCCATCCGGACATTCTGAGAGTGGAGTGAGCTTACATCCGGAATTCTTAGTACTCGAGGGATTCATCATCATTAATTTCTTTGTTTTGGAAGATAACCGACTGCATAGCTTAGGTGTGGAAACATGCGGACATTTATAAGACACCCTGGAAAAAGCTACAGGGTGGTACCGCGTCGGTCGACTGGTTCTTGTCTACCACCTTATTTTTGCATGTTAATGATATTAAATAGACCTAAAGTGGCCACCCGGCAATCGGTACTGAGGTATTCCTTAATGCGTGTACAATCACTTGTACGTTAAGAAGTTGTATTGTGGATACAACTACTTCCGGAACAAGCATTTGCCACGGCCCCGCTCAGTAGGGGTTGGGGTTTTTGAAATTCAATATAAATGTTACAGTTATTTTCTCAGTTTTCGAACCGGTGTTGATTGCATGTAGAAATGTTGGTAATCCTTGGAAAAAACTATATTTTTTAGATCGCAATTGTTTTGATAATGTATGTTTGTATTAAACAGGTACAGGAATACAGGGCTGTACATATTCACGTATAATGCAGCAGCACTGTGATTTAAATGAATTCAATATAGCAACATAAATAGACACATACGCGAGAAGAGATGCGGGACGAGCGGTATTGATTTTGAGCATCGATCTGGACAGGCCACAGGCGCACCGCTAAACAAATCTCATAAATGTCTATTTCCAATTTAGGCATTCATCTAACATAGTGCTTCGCTGCAACAACAACCCCGAACAAAATCAGTCAAGCTTTACACACTTTTCAAATTACTATTGAACAACAAAAATAACATAAATCACTTTTTAAGTGCAATGTGTATAGCTAATATATTACCCAGACTTAGATTTGTCACAAGTAACAATACTCGTATTTACGTATAAATAGTAAGGAGTTGTGCTGTAAACAAGTGATGTCAAAGAGGGGCAGCATTTGGAATACCAAAAAATTATAATGCTCAGTTCCTATAGCTATAACTTATACGTTAGTATGCCTCTGTCACCATGATGTGACAGAAAGTAACACAATGGTCGCCCCCCGCACCCCCTCTCTAAATCCGCCAGTGAGTGATAATAGTAGTTAAATAGTTTTACACCAAGTCAAGCATTTCGGGTTTTGTGAATTTCAGGGAATGAAGAACAAGTCCGCAAGTGTAGGATAAAATACTTCGACCTATATTCTGCACCAAATATCACAAAATAACGTATTGATCCAATTTAGCCCAAAAGGGATAACCAAATATCAAAGGTTCTGTTTAACAAAATTTACTCAATATTGGATAAATAAGGTAATGAATATTCTCTAAACGTTCAGTAAACCGCATTAAAGCAATATTAGTGCTATATAGAAAGGGAGAACATTTATCCGCCAGATCGTATTTACGAACGTAATTGCAATATTGTGCCAATACTCTACAAAAAAAAAAACACAAAATAACATGCAATACTATATAGCGCAAGAAAAAAAAAACAATGTTGTAATTTCCAAAGTTTAGCCCAAATATAGAACAAATGCAGGGTTATGAATATCCGCTAAACAACGACGACGCTAAACAATTAACAAAAATCAGTGTAGTAATATTGATTGACAATATTAATGTTATTTTGGTAGAGAACATAGGCCAATATATGCTTTAACAATATCACATTTTGGCAATAAATACAATATTGTGCCAATATTCCATACAATCAATAATGCAAAATAACATGTTGAGCCAGTATCAGCTAAAAGAGAAAGCCAAATTTTGTATTTTCCAAGGTTTAGCCAATATAGGGCAGATATTAGTGTTTGATTGGAATGCTAGTGCCAATATATGAATATTGATCTAAAATAAAAACAAAGTTCAGCCAAAGTCCTGTGCTACTTGGGTGTACATGACATCACTTGGCAAAAAATCTTTACAACTATGTAGAATAAAAACGAGGCTTCTTTCTCACCCAAACACGTGACAGGAACAGGCACAACGCACTCTGGACAAGGAAATGCAATCCTCTTTATCTGCGGTTTAGTTTGTTCCCAGGGCATAGAAGCCTTTTGGGCTTCTTCTTTTACCAACACGTCAGAATGACAAAGTGCAGGACAAGTGTGGCCACAATCTGAATGCAGCTTATCACATACTTGCTTACAAGGAGGACACTCGCCGAAGTGACAGCGATGGTGCTCTCTTTTTGGATGGTGACAATCCGGGGGAATCCTAAAGCATGATAATGATTTGTTAATAACTGAATCGGTCAAAAACCTCACATAATTTGAATTTTCGAGTCGACACATAAATCATTTTTTTGGGGCTTGACGTAGTATTTGTGTTCTGAAAGATAGATATTTCTAATAACCTTTACAGTTTATTAATAAGAATGAAAAAATCCCTCAAATCCATTATAGACTTACATGTTTTAACAGAGAAAAAGGTTAGTGGTATATAACTTAAGCAAAAGAATTATTTTAACCATATTTCTCATTGCTTATTATTGAAAATAGGGGAAATTTGGGCAAAGCGAACACATGAAAGTCAAATTTCCCGTTTTACATCTAAGTCATAGACTAATTCTATTTACATCCTTCAATAACCGGTAATCGTAGAATAACCCACGTGCCTATTTAACTACCAGTCATCAAAATGTATTTTTAAAAAAAAATGTCATTGCTAAATAAGTGTTTAATAAATTAGCACAGCAATTGAAAGAGTTTATAAAAAATAAAAGCAAAGGTCATGTAAAAGAGCTTTTAGGGAAACTAACTTCTTGCAGTGTACCTATGAGAAAACATTACAGTTTTAATTTTTAATGATTTAATTGCGTATGGATTTCAAAGAACATTACAGGACATTTTCACCCTGTTAATATTGTGTCTGTGTTTTATTATTATAATGTAATCCACACTTGATGTATCTCAATGTTTTTTTTTGTCAAATTTATGAATGGCATTCCATCTGTAATTTTTATCTGTCATTTTTTCCTCTCTGATCGACGATGCAAAACATGTTCTTTTGTATTTTTGCCAATAAGTTTATCGATTGATTTACGAACAGCCATTTAAAATATTTAGCGAATATTTAAAGGACCTCCTCAGTCATACAAATGAGAAAGATTGAGTAAATAATTTTGGTAGGAAACAAGAAATCTCTTTAACGAGTGTTTTCGAGCAAAGCAGTCAAAGCCCGTATCCTAATTTTTGTATTTTGTGGCGCAACTGATGACTGACACCCGTAAATCCGGTGGTGGCCGTGAATTTAAAATTGATATTTTGTTGTGTATAGCACATGAATATGAAGACAAAACAATAAAGGGATACTGGTACTGTTTTTGAAATGACCGGCAGGGAAATTAGGCATCTTGAAAAGCGACGAGTCAGTTTTTTGTGATATTGTATAGATTTTTTGCGACATAATGTAGGTTTGTCTACAAGATGTTAACTTAGAACTAGCTGTTATTCACTTGATGTGTACTCGAAAAGTGGATGTAAACGTCATGATGCTTCAGCTATCAATGTTTGGTTCTGATGTGATGTAACATCTGCTTCAGATATGGCGTTATTGGAGGTCTAAGCTGTAAGTTGTATAATTCAGCTGGAAGAAAATGGCAGTGCATAGATGCACAATGAGGATTTGTGTGCTAATAATCTTGATGATAATTCCATTGGTTTCTTGTCTCACATACACTTACTCGAGATATTGGGTGGGCCATTTAAAAGTTTCGATTTAAAAATAAAATAAAACAAAAACGGTTTGAGATATTGCCAAATTTATTTTTTTGTTTTGAAGTACAATTGTTCCGCTCAGAAATGAAATATTACTTCATTCAAATGGCTGCCGCGGCTGGCCTCACAGTAGCCCATTCGATCGGACCAATTTTCGAGCACTTTTTCGAGTGTTTGGGGCCGTATCTCGTTAATGGCATCACGAATGTTGGCCTTCAAATGGTCAATTGTCTCTGGATGGTCGACATAACACTTGTCTTTAACAGCGCCCCACAGGAAATAGTCCAATGGTGTCAAATCGCAGCTTCTTGGCGGCCAATTGACATCACCATTTCGACTGATTAAACGGCCATCGAAGGTTTCGCGCAATAAGTTGATTGTGGCATGCGATGTGTGACAAGTTGCACCATCCTGCTGAAACCAAACATTCTCCACATCAATACCATCAAGAGCAGGAACAAAAAAATCAGTTATCATGGTGCGATAGGTGTTTCCATTGACAGAAACGGTTGCGCCGTCCCCGTCTTCAAAGAAATATGGGCCAATGATGCCTCCGCTCCACAATCCACACCAAACAGTCACTCGCAAGGGATGCATTGGCTTCTCTAAGACCTCGTGTGGGTTTTCCGAGCCCCAGATACGGCAATTTTGCTTATTGACGTAGCCACCAATATGAAAATGAGCTTCGTCTGAAAAGATTATTTTTTTCGCAAAATCGACATCATTGATTAGTTGCTCGTTGGCCCATGTAGGGAAGGCAGAACGAAGTGGATGGTCACGCGGCTTCAACTCTTGAACCAATTGAACTTTGTAAGGCGTCATACCGAGATCTTTCCGCAAAATTCGTCGTAAACTGGTGCGGGAAATGTTCATTTCTTGGGAACGATGACGTGTTGACGTTGATGGATTTTCACGCACACTCGCAGCCACAGCATCGATACCTTCGGGTGTACGCACTGTACGAGCACGCTGACGTGTTGGAGCATCAACAATGAAACCAGTTTCACGCACTTTATTAATAAACTTGCGTATACCGGGCGCTGTTGGTGCTTCGTTGCGACCGAATTTTGAACGGCATTTTCGTGCAATTTCTGCCCAATTGTCTTTGTTTTGGAAATAAATTTCCAATATTACCCAACGTTGCTCAAGCGTAAATCGATTCATTTCGTTCAGCGGAGATAATATACTGAATTTTATGACAAATCAGATTGACATAAGTATTGTCAGCGTCAAATTAACACGTGGTTCAAATCGAAACCGATAGATGGCCCACCCTTTATAAGCAAAGCTAGAAATCGCTTTTTCTTATTCATCCTGGAAATAACATTATTTCAAATTTGCTGCATTTAAAAAATGAGAGTGATAAGAAAAGAAAACCCCTGATTGGTGAAGAATAATTCAGCCAACAGGTGAGAAAATATGCCATAGACAGGGATATTTATAAGACGTGGAAAAGTTATTACACTTTAAAATATTTTTTATTTTCAGTCATTTAAATTTTATTGAAATAAAAAATCTCACTGTTTTTAAACACATGCAAACCAATACACACAATCAGCCTAATGCGATTTTGCAACCAATTTTATTTCTGTCACATCTCAGAGATACGGACTCGGCATTCTGCAAACAATAATGCTGGGTCATTAAGCGTATCGTCGAGTCATTCCTCCATAGATGACGCTTTTGGCGACGATCACAGCGCTCATAGCTAGGAAACGCGGAATGAATTATTTGTACACTAGGAATGTGCTAGGAACTATCTCGTCAGCAAGTTGACATTTTGTCGGTTTCTTTTTACATTATATAGCTTTTTTACGTAATAACCCTGCCGTTCAAGTACCCGCCGTCAAATAATGCGGAAGTGCCAGAATTACGACGTTTTTGCACTGAATTTATATTATGTGGTGTTGCTGAAAAGGGGAAGAATGTAGTGATTCACGAGGTGTTTACCCAGAATACGCAGCGTTAATGAAGCGTTTTCAGTAAAAAAAGCATCTTGGTAAAAAATGGACTTGTGGTGTTTGCTCTGACCGTTTCAATTAGGTATAAAATATAATTGACCAAGCACTAAAGTAAAAATATTTTGAGCTTTGTAGGACAACTCACGTGCATGTTTTATTACACCCCGGCGGTTTAGTTTTATGCTTTCTACCGCATGGTACTTGAATTTTGGTAGCTCCACATCTGCATGTCACTATGTCAGTTTGAGCACAAGGATAACAAGGTCCTCGATGGCAAACTGAGTTACATTTGTGGTTACCACAGCTTAAAGTACGACCACATGGCTTTTCACATGGAGGACAATTACCATCACAGCACTGGAAAATGATTAATCCTAGTCAAATAAATAAATTAAAAAAAACTAAGATTCAACTATCAATTATTATCGCGTGCCTTCTAAAATATGTACGCTTTTGTGATAATACACACCTTTCTGTTGCAAGGATGTTTGTTACAGTCTCTCATTCTTTTGCATTTTGTTTCACAAAAGTATGGTTTGTAACACTGAACTTCTTTGGAATGCAAACCACAACGACAAGATTTAACCACAGTTTCCAGACACTAAAAAAATATTATGTGTGAGTTCTATATCTTTTATTTAAATTCTCTACATACCAATCCACATTTATCCTTATGACACCTCTCATTGCACCTATGTATGCCACAGTCTAAAGGTTTATCACATGTATCTTGACAGCTGGGAGTGTCTTGTGTGCAAGGTAGCTGAAATTCTTGCTTTCCACAAGGACAAGTTCTAAGGTTAGTTAAAGGACAATCAAAACATGGCCCTTCATGACAAACCTTCTCGCACCTGTGGTGCCCACAGCTAAACAATTTCCCACATACCTGGAAAATATTTGTAAATAAAAAGATGTCATTTCATCTGCAAAAATTATTCAATTTTCATATAATCTTGCATCTGATAATTTGACCAGGACGCTATGGAGACATCGACAGCATCCGTGGTCAAATTAACCTATTAAACTACATGGAAGCTCACTGACGTGGCAACTAGTGACTACGGAAAACAAAATGTTGTCGCCATATATTTCAAAAGGTTAGTTGTGCTACGGATGCTAGCGACATCACCACCTTTACGTTAATATACTACGCTTGTGGTACCACAATTTAATTAAATATTTACAACTGCAATGCCAATGACGTCGATTTGAATACCGCATTTTTGACTCGCCTCGACGTCATAATTTAGTTCTCAAAGGTTCTATTTTATATCTTATAGTTTTAATTAAAAAATTAGAAGCATGGATGAAAAATGTAAACCTTATTATAAGTACTGTATTGTATCTACAATATGGGGCGCACCAGGTAAAGTATTTTTTCATATTCCCCCAATTGCTAAGAGAAAATGGTATAACGTTATGAGAAGGAAAAATATATCTCCTAAATGTAAATCATATTGTTGTGAAGATAATTTTAACGTTAAATATCTGTGGTCTAAAGTACGCAAGCATGTCGTAAACATATTCTTTTTTCGAACTAATCAAATTGACAGGTTGGGAATCAATGCCAGAGAGAACAAAGGCCTGACATTTTAAATCGGACTGAACAATCAACACAGGGTTGGCTGGCGGCAAGTCGAAATGGTGGCGTCACGCCAATATATTTGCGTTACGATATTTTAAATTTACCGCGTACTTTCCCAATTATTTATAAACTAATACTGATAACTTGATTGCGCTTGAGTATAAAATAAATGTTCATTTTGTAGCAATATAGACTGTAAATAAAAATAACCTATGCAGATTCCAAGACTCTGACGGTGGTCTGGATCACTAGCAGGGCAACATATCTTTATAGTAGTTTTTATAATTTTACCTTGTTGCATTGCCAAACAGGTTCAGCACAATCCCTTAGTTTTTGTTCAGCTTTACAGATGCATTTCTGTATGCTTTTTTTAGGACAAGGCTTGCATTCTCCTGGATGACAGGGTTCTGAACAGGAGTGCTTTTTGCAGGTCAGTAACTTTCCGCATTTATTTCCACACGACCAGCCCCTGTTACTGCAACGCCGAGTTTGAGGCGGTTCACTGTTGCAGTAGCAAGTTACTGAGACTGTAGCAGGGCATGGTGGGCAAGGACCTGAGGAAATATATCATGGTAGGACAAAATTTCCATTTTCATCTCCCATTGTTACAAGTATCACACACCGAGATAGAAAAACTTCAATTGTGAGCCGTGTCTGCGAGAAAACTGGCTGAAGTGAATGTTTAGTTTAATCAGATGTGTGAGTTGTGTTATAAAAATAGAGTCATAAAGAATGAACTTTTGTGTCCTTGCCTCTGTTTCTTGTAAGTTGTAACCTCAGTTTTAATGTGTTGGGTTAAAATTATCTGATGAATTGTTTAGTAGAAATAACTGAATATTCTTCATGATCTTCTGAATTGGAAGAGATATGAAGTCAGTTAAATTTTTCTAGGTACATTTCAAGTTACCATATATCAGAAAGAGGCATCTAGGGAATTTTAAAAGTTTGTAAACAACAAACCTGAAAGTGTCATTATTTTTTTACGCATGTACGGCTCTGGTAATAAAAACATTGCAAAATAGCTATTGGCTTTGTTGAAGAAGATATATCCAATAAAAACTCCATTTGAAATAGTAATACAAACACAATTACACATTTGCATACTTATGTTACTTGATTCCATGAAACATTTTTTAAATTATACTGTACAATAAAGTCCGTTTTTAAAACAAACTAAACATTTTAATTATCTTATTTTTTACAACAGAATCCAAATATAGACAGATTTCAACAATAATTATAAAATGAATGTTGGACAAACACAAACTAATAGTAGCATACCATCAACACATAGTAAATTATGTTTGCCTTGTAAGATCAAAGAAAAAATATGTAGAGAGGTACTAACTGGTAGCTAAAAGACATTCCAGACCATATAACTGGTTTGAACAGAGAAGAATGGACTAAGATCTTATATTCGAGTATGTTGACATTAATTTAGTTGATACCAAGATTATATAAATCTTTTACTCTCCCAATAAGGGATATCTTCACAAAACATCTGAGTACAGTTTTTTTCAAAACCTTTGGCCTACAAACAAATCTTGTTGTTGGCTAAAGGTTTTTTTTTGACAAGTGTGGCATATCCTTTACTATTGTTAAGAAATTCTGGGGAGACATAACCTTATGAGGAAAGGGAGGAGTGATCTTTCCTTAAATGTCAAATTTAAGAATAAACAGTTATCTGTAAAAGAAAAATAGAGTCTATTTTTATTACCTCTCTAAAGAAATGCAATCTTATTTGGCAATGTGACTATGAAGGTGGAAATTATACCTGTATATCATTATATAGCACTTTTAGCACGCTTAGTATGTAACTTAGGCTGATGAATTCTAGGATGTTTGTCACAAAAATTTTGAACATAATAATTTTCCGAGTTTGTAATTATGGGAATTAAATTTCCAGCTTAGACTAATTCTTACCTGGATGACAAAGTAGAAGACACTTATGCCCACACTTGGGAACCAAGTCTTTTCTACATATCTCCCCACATGAGTGAGGGACCAGATATGGATCATACTTGGGGTTCCCCTTTTTTCCACAGAAGCACAAATAGTTTTTTGGTACTTGATCCACTTCATACTCTTGTCTGCATTTTGGGCAACACCAAGCCAGAGGTCTTCCTTTAGGTGCTGTTTGTTCTTCAAGTGCCTGTTTTTGCTGGTTGAGAGTGTCCTTAGACCATCTTTGGATGCAGAGTATGTGGAAGGCAGCAAAACAACTTATGCAACTCCATATCTAATAAATTCAAGTAGCTACTAGTTAACCTGAGCTTATTCATTCAAGTATAATATACTGTTAATACAGAATGGCATCAAGTAGGTTGAAGGTGTATTTAATATACAATGATATAAGCTTAAAAATAAACAAAAATACAATAATTTATGAGAAAGCAATTTTTTGGGAATATAATGAAAACATATAAACAATATCCTCCACCTGTATGTCATAATTTGTAACATATTATACTTCTAAAAACTACTGCAGGTAGACTGTAGGAATTTAGATTTAAACAAAATCTTCAGTAAATTGCATTAAGCAAAGCTGTTTAATGTGATTTCTTAAAGAGCACCAATAGTACATTTTTCGTTTATTTGAAACAAATAAGAGATGCATAAAATTTTTAATTTATAGTTCATATTTGAATTTTATGTTACAACCAAATCAAATTTGCAAAAAGATGCCAAATCTATGCAGAGCAACATATCACGCTTCTGATTAACAGGTAATATTCTGTTCAACACAAAAAAACTTGAGATTCAAAATCTTATGCAATCATCCCTTTCATAGTTAGAAAGTTTGATCCCTTCCATATTTTATTTTTGTCCAAATGTTGTGCTATAGCTACAGAAGTCTGGTTCTTATATGGTTCTATAAAACAGATATTTCCATGATTCCTTGTATTCAATAAGTCATCATCAGAATAAGTACACTTGAACCAGTTCTTTTATAAAAGTTATATATGTATTAGTCTGATGAGCCAACATATTTTTATAATGAAAGCAAAACATAATTTTCAATTATTTTAAAAAATAGTGATTTAAAATATGAGATCTTGCTGTCTTCAGTTTCCTTTTTTTACTGAAATTATGATTTTGATGTATGTACCATCCTCACAATCTGCTTCTAGATTTGATTAAAAATGAATTAATGGAAATAATGATTTTTTGATATCAGTTAACTTTTCCCATTATCGCCTAAAGTGAAGACTGCCTGAATATATTATATAACATACCTGATCATCCCTTTTCACTCTTGAAATGCATATCAAGCATGTAGAGGCTCCAGTTGTAAAGGCCTGCTCTATAAAATTTTGAGTCCTTCCTAGGTTGTCATTTTCTCCATAAGAACTAGTATAATTTTTCAGTATGCTCTCTGGGAAAACATGTCATACATTATATTGGTATTGACTTATCTGAAAACAAAGCTATACTAATTACCTATTAGGTTAGCTGATTGGACATCATCATCCTCCTCAGAGGAGGATTCAAAGTCCTCAATATGTTTCTGAACAGCTGCTTGGAGTTTTGACTGTGCCTTTTTGAACTTTTCCTCGGATGGAGTTGGGTCATTACTGGTGTTACCGCCTTTCCTTTGGTTTGAAGTTGCATCACGTCTGGGATTATTTTTATTCCAAGGGTTTTTCGGCTTTGGTTGGGAGTGCATTTTTGTACATTCACGTTAAAATAACAATTCTCACATTACTACAATATGCCAGTTTAATGTAAAAACTGGTCTATGGTTTTTATATTACATTATTACATACTCCATTAAAAGAATGATAATTCAAAAAACCCAAAAAACGAGCAGATTTTAAGGCTAGATAACAACTGACAGTGACAGTTGAGGTGGGAGTTGGCAAAATCTTTCGTACACGTTAGGCAACACATGTCGCAGTAGAACTTGAACTACGAGTGTAAGCTAAAAAGTACTGCTTTTACATTGCAGCATAATAAATGGTTGATTTGTGGAGTACTAGCCATACTCCTAAATCAGACATTTGTTAAACCAGGATATAAAGATTGATTGAAATCGATAACAATAATGTTCATTGCCGACGAGGGATTTTAATATCCTTTCATATATATCTGGTCATTCAGATTGCAGAACGATTTCTTTCAAAGAAGTTCATTACAGATTATCTAAGCGCGTGGCATCATCAAGAGGGGTTTCTGAAGTGTAGATCTGATTAATTTAAAGGATGCCTTTTAGAATCCGAATGTTTCTCATCTAAATACGTTTTTCAGACATATTGTTTTGGTTGATTATAGTACTATGATAGAAAATTGGGAAGGTTACTAAATTCGAACAGCATGTCGTCTACGGATACAGTGGATGAGAGTTGAGAATATTTCTCCCAATGCTTCCTTTAGCCATGCTTCCTCTTCAGTGATTCTCCTCCCTGAAAACGTGACAAGAAGGGGCATTTGAATATTCGGGCAAAATAAATTGTCCTTAGCGTTTATAAGAGCGAAATTTTGGAGCATCCTGAAATTAAAATTCATGATATTGAAAGACGTGTGGCGAACAAAACAGGCTTATGTCCTAAGACAATTTTCAACATTGTTAAAGAATATAAAAAAAATGTCTCCACCACACAAGAGGCTGCATTACACGAAGCTGTTGGATAGTTTGATCGAAATGCCATCAGACGCAAAGTCGATCAATTTTTTGAAAGGCAGGATCTTCCCCTCATAGACAAAGTATTATAGGAGGTTAATAGTCATGAAGACTTACGTACTTTCAAAATGACCACATTCTATAGTTTACTCAAAGAACTTCATTTTGAGTAAAGAAAACGAGACAGAAATAGTATTTTGATAGACAGCCAAGAAACTATTTTATGGAGTAGAAATTATTTAAAATCAATAAAGAAATACCGCAACCAGAGCAGGAAGATTTATTACTTGGATGAAAGCTAGATAAATCAGGACATACAAAACTTAGTGTGGGCTGACTCTACAATTAAATCAGTCAAAGAAAACGACCGACTACCATGAAAAAATGGACGGGAGTTCATTTGAACGATGGTTTGAAGAAACGCTTTCAACGCTTGACGACAATGCCGTCATTGTACTTGATAAGGACTATGAAATTGGAAGTAATATGGTCAACGCAGAACTTATCCATCTAGCCAGGCAGCACAAATATAAATATAATCTTAATGTTATTGACGAAATGGGTAAAAACCAAAATAAGACCACTTTAAGGTTACCTCCTTATCACTGCGAATTAAATCCCATTCAAATGATTTGGGCAAATATAATATGTATATAATCTTAGAATGTGTGATACCTGCTCCTATAATAGGGATATTTAGTACAATCTTAGCACATTCTATTGATGTGCGATATGTTATTTGTGCACGTGTTTAGAACGTGATATTGTTATTAGAGCATAGCATGGGGTTGAGCTCTTTGGACCCTTTCCTTCGTAATGCTTTGTAGACAGAAAGCCTTACTTGCAAGAATATAAGAATACTTTTATAGATTATAGCTGCACAAATGTGTAGGTTAACAGTAGCTTCAATACTATTAGCAAAATCATCAAAATAATATAGAAAACATGTATATCTGCGATGGAGAAGTATATCTAACAAAAAAGGCTATCTCTATATGCGTCTTATATAAGTAGAAGCTATTGTAAGTGTAGGGTCTATAGTCAAGGATTTTTAACGAAGATGAATATCCTTTTCTGTGTCAACAAACTAATATGTACAATTATATTCGTTATCTATCATCCACCACGTTATCATTGCTTATATAACAGCAACTGGCACGTCTTAAAGTTTTGTCATTACAGTATTGGATAGACTGGAAATAACTGCACAGTTATGCGTTTTGTGTATTTGTTTCTCCCAATTTTTGTCAAAGGTACTTTTTAAATAGTTCAAGTTAAATTTTGTGTCATGTCTAGACGATAATTGCAGTTTTTTTAGCACAAAAACATTCTCGTCGATTGTCCATTCTAACCAAATTTTGCAATAGCTCTAGCAAGTAATTCAGCATAAACGCATAAACCATATTTCGGTAATTCAATTCAATTTGTTCAATATGGTCAATGATCGACGAATTGACATGGAAATTTCCTGAAAATACGTTAATCAATAGTTGAACTAATTTCTTATCTATGTATATTGCTTATATCAACTGACGTTTTCGAGATTTAGTCTAATATTCATTATTTATAGCTTCGCAGTGTCTGGATGTACCGAAAGTAACATTGCCACAAGGTGTGCTGGAGGGATTTTACAAACACTCGGTGAAAGGCAATGTTATATATTCTTTTGAAGGAGTTCCTTATGCGGAACCTCCTATAGGACTCTTGCGATTCCAGGTAAGTAAATTAATAATAATTTCATGTTATTTGAATTTTAGAGGGTAACCCTCATGTGGGTCCGCAGAGCGAGGGATGGGGTCCGTACTCCTGAGGATCCAGTTCGACCTTAAAATTTGCATCTTTAGCATGATTTTGTGTAGAATTTTGAGGATATTTGGGATTTGACCCCCCCCTTTAAAGGGCACCCGCAGGGCGGGGGAGGTCCGCACCCCTGAGGATCTGGCTGGACCTTAGAAATTGCATTTCTAGAGTGATTTTGTGTACAATTTCGGACATTTCTGGGATTTGCCCCCACCCCCAGAGATCATTTGCTACTTCACGCCCTTCAAATAGTATTTGGGGCAAGTACACTTTCACAAAAGCTATCTCTCACCGATGATCGGTCCCCCGTGAGAAATTTCTTGCGGGCGCCCAAGATAATCCTTCGTTAAGCACTCTCTCATCAAAAAACTGTAGGAAACCTTTTCAGCATCCGGTTTTATATAAATGCAAGGCGATGATAACTAGTATCCAAAGGTATCATTAATAATTATTTTGTTAGGAACCCAAACCTGCAAAACCATGGAAGGGTATTTGGAAAGCAAACACGATGTTTGCTTGTATGCAACTCTATCATTACACCCCTCCTGGACAAGATATGGTAACAGGTAAGTATCGTTCTAATTAGACATGGAAAGGATAAGAATGGATCAGTTGTGGTCCTCCCACGGAACTTGGCGCGGCTGGTTCCATTTGATCTTTAATGTTTTCCGTAATTTTTCGTCTCATGGAGGGCATATTGTTGTTCAAATTCTTGCTAAATTTCAGCCTTTCCATTAAACGTACAAACGTTGCAGGTGATGAGGACTGCTTATATCTGAACATATACTCACCCGATTTGCATCCTAGTGAAAAGATGGACGTCCTTGTTTATATCCATGGCGGAGCTTTCATGTTTAACAAGGGTGGAATCCATGGACCACACCTCATTGTAGACAGAAACATTGTTTACGTAAACCTCAACTATCGCCTGGGACCTTTAGGTACAGTTAAAGACAGGAAAATAACGCCAACTCATGATATATGTAATCTCTTTCGTGGCAGTGCTTTAATTTGTGATTGTTGTACCTGTACTGGAAACAAACAGCTGTATTTTTGGCCAATTATAATTATTTTATATATATTTCTTAATGAACATTATAGGCTTTTTGAGTACAGAAGATGACTTAGTACCGGGTAATATGGGCTTGAGGGACCAACAAATGGCTCTGAAGTGGGTAAACGAGAACATTCATCATTTTGGTGGAAATCCTGATTCAGTCACAATAGTAGGAAACTCTGCAGGAGGAGCTAGTGTCCAGATGCATCTTTTAGCTCCAAGTTCTAAAGGTAGTATTGATATGTTTCAATCAAGTTTTCGATTGAGCAGTCAGACAATAAAGGTGCACATACGTCGCTTTGAGGCGAAATGAAGTGAATAGATCAGAAGTTCCTCCGCTTTGAAAAAAGGTTCTAAGAAAAGTGTGTATCGAAAAAGCAATTTGCCAATGAACTCAGATGTGATCTAGACAATGACCTCAGGGGTCATGTTGAGGTCAACTTTGTGAATTCTTATAGCAACCACCATTTTTGACAGCAGATTCGCGTCGAGCTTGAGATTCTACATCAGAATGTTTTTTCGTAAATGAGGTCAAGAGGTCGTTGCTCTTTGAAATTACAAAGTTGGCTTTCAAATGACCTCTCAGGTCAATGGCTAGATCACATTTGATGTCATCGACAAACTGCTTCTATGATATTCTGATATTTTTCCCAGAACCTTTTTCCTAAAGGTGCGTGATTGCCAAGTTTTCAGGATGTTTAGGTTATTTAACAGTCACATTAGAGCCCGCTTGCTCAAGCGATATGAAGCGAAGGAATGCTAAATATGAATTTCGAGAGGTCTTCACAGCAACTTGTACAGGGAGATTGACGTTCGTTTCCGCGCCGCTTCTCAGTGGGCGCGTAGCTTAATTGTAGCTTCTACTTAACTTCCATAGTTGTTTGAGATAAGTTCACCACATTATTACATTTTTTGGAATTACTCTCTGGACCACAGTTATTTCTGTCTATAGGACTTTTCCATAAAGGTTATTCCCAAAGTGGGTGCGCACTAAGCAACTGGGCCTTGGTGGAAAAACCGCTAGAAAAAACTTTGAAGCTAGCAAATCTTACTGGCTGCCCTACAGATAGGATGAAAAATACAGTAGATTGCCTCATGAATAGACCTGCTAGGCAAATTGTTGGTGCTGTGAAACATTTCCAGGTAAATATTTAAGTCATAGGTACAAATCGCACCTATATTAAAGATAGTGGTTCAAACTCTCGATAATCTTCAGTAATTATAAGTCATTTGATCTTAGAGTATAATTTCAGCCCTGGTTGTACAATCCATTCACAGTCTTTGGGCCAGTTGTGGACACCTGGGGGATAAGCCCATTTTTTCCTGACCATCCTTTCAACTTATTGAAGGAGAAAAAAGTACAGGATCTGC